GAGAATTTTGAGGACAAACTGTTATTTCCCTGTAATTCCTCCGTTATAGTCCATATTGTGGTATGACACACATATCTTCAAAAAACTTATGTTCTATCTGGTCCAGTAGGTGCCTTCATAAGAAGGGATAGGACGCTTTGCATTTTGATTTAGCAGGCAGATAGAAGGAGGCTGTCAGGAAATAAGTCTTGCAAGATCAAAGACTTCCTTCGCTCTGCCTCCTTTGTTTGGACTCAGGTTCTAAACAATACACTAATCTGTCGACATGACTGTCATAGTCTTATTCTAGATTGTCAATCCTGATTGTAAAAGTAAATTATCATTCTGACCTAAAATCTGTGCTGTGTTACTTGGTCCTATGTGAACTACTACGATCATATAATAATTTTGTACAGCAATGTTTTTGAGCAAAAGGACAGCGCTAAAATGGGAAAATCAAGAGCAGTACTGTGACCTTGACAATCATAATGACTTTTTTGCATTTTATGCACTGTACGCAAAAGAGGTAACATATAGTTAGCGCATCGCAACTTCATGAACTGCGGAAATTTGAATATTGAGATCTTAAAACGTGTCATTAAACTTCAGTCTTTCTTTTGCAGAATCATGATACTGTGGAGCGTGAACGTTTGATGCAGATGATGAATGTGCCAGATCGCATAGTTCTCACTGGTGGTGATGGATACAAAGGTTATGAAGCTCAACCATTAGAGCTGATGAATGATCACATAAATCAAGTGGGAGAAGTGGGTTTGCAGCTTTTTCGCAAATCATCCTTAGAACTATTATCTGACGTTATAGAATGATCTGAAAGATCTTCCCAACAAGATAACACTTAAGGAAAGCCCATATCTGGACAGAGGTGATCCTGCTGCTGCTGTACGTTTTTCCTTTTTTTTTTTTTGCAACCTCATCTCATTAGTTTATGAGAATTCCAGGATGAACCAGTCCGGAGCGAGAATTCTATAGCAATAGAGGAGAATCCCTTGCAAGAGCTGAAACTGATGCGTCGTCAGATCGGTATTCATGCGATTCATCTGTTCTAACTTCTTATACTAAGTCTAAAGACCTTGCATCGGTGTAGACGATGTTTCTTATGCGTAGCATGAAGAAATATAATTCAAATAGAATCGAGCTGCCAAACTAACAGATTTTCACTTCTCAGTTCTTCTTATTGTCATATTTTCCTCAAGGACACGCCAGTGCAGCTTTTTGAATCAAAAACCTCGTCACTAAACGTCATTGTTGTGACGGTTTGCTCTGAAAGTGCGAACACAGCGGACAAATAGCCATTAAGATCATTAGGAAAATGTGAATAACATGGGAAATTCATTTATCTGTTGGTCGTAAACAATACAATACATCAATTACTATGTTCCGTATTCTTCTCTTTCATTGAAATTCGGCATCTTGCTTGACGTCAGCCCACCACTGCACGCTCATTATATAAAAGAGAACACATTCTCTTTGGAAAAAGTTGAAAATTGTAATGGTCGTATTTCATTGATCATTCGCGGCTACAATCTAATAGGAAGAGTAAAATTAGTGATTGTTTACCTATGCTATCCTATAAGTCCGTGTTTAGGACGTATCTCAACGAGACTGTATCAGCTGGAAGATGAAATTGAGCAACGTCGATTTCGAGATAAGGTTTGTGTTTTGGCGCTATTAAATGTTACCGAGCCATGATGACGCCTTAACTTCATCATTTTTTATTTTTGTTTTAAGCATTTCATACTTCTCGTTGAATTTCTTTTCAGTTTTATGGATCATTTTGATTGATTATTTAAGTGTAATTTCTTGATACTTTTGAAAAATCGTTGAGTTTGAAACGCGCAAGCCTTATATAATTGAAACGTGACACAAGGTGTGTCACGCTTGTCGGCAAGGTGGTTGGTACAATCGAAGCGCAAGAAACCCAAAGTTCAGATTTCGCAGGGGAGAGGGTATTAATTTTCAAAGTTTTTTCTCATCTCCTCTTTTTTAAAAGTTTCAGGAGATTCTTTAATAGTTCTGACCGTGCATCGGTTTGTTTGCTTATTATTTCGTTGTCGTTTCTTTCTAAAGTATAATTTTCATGCACTTTCATCTTACTCTTGGTCGTTTCTCATATAGTAGGTGCAGTTTGCGAGAACCCTTGTAAGCTTTTCATGCTATTTGCATAGAGTGAGGGCGTAGCCATCGCCCTTCCCAACGATTTTCAATACATCAACTAAGTGTTTGATTTCGCAGATCGCCATTTGCTCCTTCTTTATGAAAAAACTACCATAAATGCGACATTTGGAGATATTCGAAGGTTCAGTTAAAATAAAGCCGCATCAATGCATCGTCCACGAATTCGAATACACCAATCACGTTAACTACTTTGTGGTAGACATCGTGAATGTCTCCAGGCACATATCATGAAAGGAATTAGCTCGCAAAAACAGCTGATCTTCCATATGCGTTCAGCCCTGTATCAGCACGCCGCCCTCTGCCTGCAAGCGTTTCTGTTGTGTTAGTAAGGGCATCTCCATACTTCATAAGGATCGGCCGATTCAGATCGGCTGACCTTTATAATACTTATGAGCGCAATAAAAATCGGCCGATCGAGGGTGCGCGGCGGTTGCGTTGCTGCGGTCAAATACCATTTTGCCTGTGGTTCCGTACGCCGCCGCGCATATTCGATCGGCCGATTCTTATTGCTCCTATACGCGTTATACGGGTCGGCCGATCTGAATCCGTCGATCCTTATGAAGTATGGAGATACCCTAATGGACCAAGCAAGTAGTTAACAGTTTCTACAGGTAGGAAGTAATCTGAAATCTCTTTTGCTCTGGTCTATATAGCTTACGTTGTCATATTAGAGTTCACAATAAAAGAGATTAGTTTATTTGTAGAGGACTAAGAGTTCTTCAGACAAAGAAAAAATGAAGTGATTTGTTGCAAATTTCACGATGTCATTAGTTTGGCCTTTTTAAAACTACATTAGAACTCAATCTATCCGGGGTTTAAGGGAACAGTATCCATCTTAAAGACTTTGTTGCGTACACAAAGGTTATCAATATACTTAATTTCTATTCAGATATCAATTTCTGCCGTGTTGGGACTTGCAGCTGCTCTTCTCCTTGCTCTCTTGCGAAGGTAGATAATCTCAGCGTCTCCAACGTTTGCTCTGATGAATTACTTTTGTACGAAACCATGGCTTCCGTCCATATTTCAACTCCTATATTGTTTGCTTTTCTAGTCTGTCGTTTTTAACTATCCATTTACTCTCGAAATCTTTACAGGTACAAATAGATTTACGTTTCTTAGCGATGGCGTAGTAGCATCAGTGCATTGGGTGTTAGAAGTGTAGCTTTGGTGGTGTGCTTGTTTACGTGTTGTATTTGAGGCTTACTAATTAAACAGCTAAGGTGCCATTGTAACATCGCAGTTTCGGTTTTACCAATTGGATTTTGTAACTTCTCAACTGTGCATATTTCGTTCATGGCGTTTACTTTTTTATTGATGTTACTGTGATATATCGATCGTAGCACTATTAGTTTGATACTCATAAAGACAGTGTAAAAAATTTGCATGAAATAAAGGAGATTTGTGCGGGTGTATGATGTGTTAAGGATAATTTCAGTCCTCTCTGTTCTGTTTGCAGCTGTTCATTTTTTCTGGTATCAGCCATCAATGTGACTAATCATTATGTTGGGAAGTAAAATAAAAAAAAGGTTGTCTATGTAGTTTGAGCATATTTCCCATAAAACAACTGGGTTTGATTGCATTGTCTTTACCTACATTGGAATCTATGGGAGAATTACACAAGCGCAACAAGCGTGCAGGTTTTTACGCTGCACCCCCCTTGTTGAGCTTTAGAGAACAACTTGAGTTGATTTCTGATATTTTTTTTTGACCTGTTGGTTGTGGAGCCTTTTTGAGATTATGGGAGTACTGGTACACCTCAGTTAAAAAATTGAAAAGGTAATCTGTTTTTTAAATGTTCTTCACGAGTTGAAGGAAATGAAGTTCTTCTTATTTGAACGGGATAGTTTCCAAAGTACTAGTTTTTGAAATCTCGAAATTATTCATTTTTAAAGCAAAAATTCTGCAGAAAGAGCCCATACTCCTCCTTTTTGATCTTTTCCTGCATCCTCCCGAGAAACTTCGTGCATTAGTCTGTGTTATTCTTATAAAGCCTAGAAACAAGACATTCAATTTGATGGGAACTCAAAATCCTTAGTTTTTTTGCGGACTTTGCCTTTAATTGGCAGCAGTATGGACCAAGTGCGACAGCGAAGTGCGCGGCATGAGAATGGGGACAGCATCCATACTTGTTCAAACTTCAGTTTCCATGAACTTTGAGATTTCAGGGAATAACTTTTTACATCAGTGGTAACTTATAATATGTTGAAAGAAGTTTAGTTATCTTTACAAGTTATCAAGTTCTTGCCTAGAGAATTTCATTTTGTTGTTTTGGATACTTACATAAAGTCAGAAAACTTACAAAAAATAAATATAGACCTAAATTTAGTATACATTACCATTGTGGAATCCAACAAGTATGGCTGATCATTTCTTGTGGTGACGCATCTCACTGGCGCACTTATTCGATAGCTGTTCCTCTTAAGAACTCTCAAAGTTGTCTACAGAAAGAATCATGTCAAGCTCTAAAGAATCGCAGCACAGTTAGAAATGGAACAAAATCTGGCCGTGGATTATTGCTTCCGCGTCCTCCACCGGCCGATTTTAATTGCGCTATTAGGCTTAATAAAGATCATTCGACTCAGACCGGTCTCTTTCGAAGTATAATGACTCCTTTTATTGAAACCTTTGAATTCCCCAAAATATTCAAAGATTAATTGAGAGCAACCTCGATGAAATCAATGGAGTCAATCCTGCAGATTAGTCCTTCTCTCTTTGATTTCATGAAAATCTTTGAACCTTTTTTACGAGCAAGTGCAACTTCTGCGACATTTCTGTAACGCATTGAAAAGAGAGACTCTTGCTTGTTTTTTTTTTCTAAATTTTTGGTGCTGATGAGTTGTATTTCTAAATTGAATCTTTTGTGAGAGTTCATAATGCTTTATGATGA